CCAAGAACAACAAAAATATTAAATTGATAGGCTCTGAAACTGAAATTTGGGAGAAATCTAAAATTTCTCAGCGCGAACGGCAATGTTTTAGGTTTCTAAAAGCTCACGATCAACAACAACGGCAAACTGGAACGGTGACAGAAAATTTATAAATCACCCGTTCCTTGACATGAAGGCAGTTGACCAATTGGATGTATACTTTATATATCAAATTATCCAGAGACACGTTACTAGAAACCAAATTTTACAAAATTCAAAAGGCCGTTTGTCGGCCAATATGGGCTGAACGGCTATCATTTACAAATTTTTACAGATTTTACTAATAGCCATTAGGCAAAGTAAAAAACGAATGTACAGTCGTCACTGATGTTTCCGGTGGTAGCGGAACCGGTAGCAGTTTTGCAGGCTTGCGCGAACGTGATCCACGGTATCCCGTGTGCGCAGGACCGATGGGCCGAATTCGAGGTCTTCCAGGACCCCGTCTTGCGTTTAGGAGATTTGGTGTAAAACCACCAACTACATCTATCTCACCTGGAGACGGATTGGTCGACGATAAACCTGAGTCAGGAATATTTTCTCCGAGAGAATTGTGGGATGCTGAAATATATTTATATTTTTTTATTCCCACTTAAATTAAAGTATTTTAGTTATACAAAGGGGTGTACCCATTATTATTTTCAAAAACATTTTGCAATCTGTACCCTAAGTTAATCCACAGCAGGTACGCAAGAGTAATTTACCATCTGTATTACCTGGATAGCACAAAAGCTGGCGGCTGGCATGACTAGCATATCATGCTATTTTTAGGGCGGGTATTATACACACAGCGTCAAAAAAATTGGACCCCCTGTATAAAACCTAAGACCTTTATCAAAATAATTTTTTGTTAGAAATATCTCATATAAAATGCTGTTTTTTATCAAAGATTAAAAATGCCAAAAAACCTTTATCTCGGTAGACTCATTTCCAGGCCTACAATTCGGCAAAGGGTGGCTGGTGCAAATTTGCGATCGAGAAGACCCGTAAGAGTGCTTAAGCTTACTAGAGGGCATAGAGCTGACCGCTTAGAATGGAGCCGTAATTACAGAAACTCGCTTTTACCCCAATGGAGAAATGTCCTTTTTCCTGACGAGTCCTGATTTGGACTGGCTAGTGACAGCCGCCGTGTAAGGGTATAGGAAGAACCAAGACGCGCAGCACGTTAGGCCTTTCCTCAAGAAGTGGTTCCCTATCAAGGAGGGACAGTAATGTTTTGGGGGGGCATTATGCATGGTTACCGCACTCCTCTTATTCACATACCAGGAGTGCTGACGGGAAACATCTACCTGGAAAATGTTATCAGGGCAATTGTTCTACCCCGGAGAAATGAATTTGGGCCAAATTTTATTTTTATGGATGATAACGCTCGCCCACATCGCACTAGAAGGATCCAAAACGTGTTAGCTGGATCCAATATTGAGAGAATGAACTGGCCGGCAAACTCGCCGGACATGAACCCAATTGAGCACGTGTGGGATACGCTTTCCGAAGCCATATTAAGAAGACCAAACCCACCGATAATCTTTCAAGAGCTGATTGTGGCAGCACAGAAGAAGTGGGACAATATTCGTCAAGAACAGATAGACAATCTGGTTCTCTCAATGCCAAGGCGAGTCAATGCGTGTTTCGAGAACAGAGGAGATCACACTGATTATTAATGTTATTTTTTATTCATAAGTTCTTTTTTTTTTTTTTTTAATTTTAAAAAATAGAGTTTTGGGACCTAATTTTTCTTATTTTTTTGTAGGACCTAAGACCTTTGCACCTAAGAACAATATGTGAATGAGTTGGTAACAGAATAGCGTTTTTTATGACATATGTACCTAATGAAAAACTTTTTTATTTTCTGAGAAATTTTGGGGGTCCAAGATTTTTGACGCTGTTAGTTAACTGAAGTTAACTTCTCGAATAACGTTACTTCCTATAGTAACTCCAGAAGTTAACTTTTTATTATCTGTCGAAAAAGTTTTATAATATCCGCCATCCTTATCAAGAACTTATTGGTGGATAAAACTTAGTATACCCAAGTGGTATAGTTTGATAGCAATATTGGTTGTGAGTGAATATACAGGGTGTCCCAGGGATAACAGTCCATCCCGATTTTGAAATGGAGGAAAAACTCAACGGTCGCGAAAATCTTTTGCGAAAGGAACCGCCGAATGGAGTAGGTTCGCACCAGCCCAAATCTGTCGTATCGATGGTACTGACTGTTCTACCTTTTTCGCTAGGTATTCCTAGGAGGTGCGCGATGCGCTTCTATCCTTCAGCGATATATAGAACGCAAAATGCATGCCTCTATTATACAGAGTCGAATTTGACTCACAAAAAAGTTAACGCGAAATCATTGCATCAACAGTATAGGAGTAAAAGCGGTACTTACCTCCCTTAATCAAAATACTTACAATTTACAATTCACGTGTACACCTAATTAATAATAATAATAAAAAACTTCAATTTCAAGTATTTTTATTAAAGGAGGTAAATATCGCCTTTACTCCCACTAAAACAATAGTCTATTTCCAAGATTTTGACAAGCTGCCATTTCGTTACGGACGAAAATAATAAGACGAAATTCTAGGGCCATAAAAAACTCGATGAGACCTTTAAACAGAGGTATGACACGTTCTTCCAGATTTTCATTCCAAATCCAATAAATCGCGGTGGACTGTTTTCCCTGGGACACTCATAGTGAATATTGCGATATTCCGGAATTCTTCCCATTGTGTGAGAGAATTTACGAGAATAGTGAATTCTAGGATTTCCTGATTTGACTGGTTATGTATATAAAGCGCGTATTTAGTTCAAATAAGAAAATTATCGAATAGAATTAAGTAAATGCGATAAGTGATTAGTGAATTTTGTTAAGTCAAATAATTCAACAAAAGTTGATGTTGTTACAAGAGTTTTAGTGGACCCGCGGAATTCGTGATAATATTATGACCGGGATGCATATTCATTTTCTGCCAACGTAATAGGACCTTCGGCTTCATTCGTGTTCGTCCGAGCACAGCGAAGGCAAATTATGATTGAAGTGGACTAACGTTGGCAGTTTAGAGCCTGCCTGACGTTCGGGAAAATATTCTCTAAAAAAATTCAGTTGGAAAATGGCAATTATTATTATTAGCTGTTTGTACGTTTTAATGCGAAATGCGACAACGAATGAAGAAATACCTTTATTAAAAGTTTAAAAATTAGTCGTTGTGTCTATTCAAAGGCCCCAGAACTTTTTCGGTAGATTTGAGTTAGTTTCGGTTGGTTTGCGTTAATATGGGTTATTTTTGGTTGGTTTGGGTTAATTTTGGTTAAAAAACCGCACTAGGCGCTGTTCCTTTCTATTTCCTTTTTTCAAGCAAAGACATGAAAAGTACCTAATCCAAATTAACCCAAACTGACTCGTGCTAGAAATGCGACCCCCCAATCTCTGTTTCTGAAGCTAATCAAATAGCGAAAAAAGAGCGCGTATAAAAAATAGAGCGCATGTATGTATTATTAAATTTTGAATAAATATTATGAGTCACTGAAGTTGGTTTTTCTGACGTTGTGCGACAGAAACACAGTTCAGCTGAACATTTATTTTACAACAACAAGAAGAGAAAAAAAGATCTTTTGTATTTTGAACTTTCAATATTTTCGATATTTTGCATTTTCGACATTTCTCAATTTTCACCTTTTGCATTTTCTTATTTCATTTTTTTTAGCTCACAGCTCTATAAAATAGTTAGTTTCCATCGGGTAGTTCCAAAGACATCAGTAGTTCTATCTACCACAATATTATGGCCATTCATTGTTTTAGCTGAAATTTTCATGTAAATCAAATTCTTATCTTTTATCTTCCCTTCCTTTGAATAAAAAACATTTATCGGACCTAATTATCAATAAAATGCTTGTAACATACAGTCACATGAAGTGCCAACGTCTGGTTGCGATGCTCATATTCTGCTAACGCTGCATAACGCAGGGCACGAATCTATCCGAATATCAGTTGCGTTGGCAAAAAATGAATATGCAGGCATTATATTTTTAAAAAAGGAACTTACACAGAAACAGTTTCTCTAAACGTCCGTCTACCATATCAATAGTAGGTAGTTAGCCAATAGATTTAATGCATTACACAGAGGAACATTTTGTTGCCGCAACCTGTTTATGGAAACAGAAACAACAACAAAAGTTCCGTGAACATTCTGTCCACAGCATGGTCACTCATTTTTGTGAATGTTTCGTTGCTTGGTGCAACAGTAAACGCTGTGTCTACACTAGTGCAGTGTGTGTTCCTAGTTCCGAAACAATGTGGTGCACCAGAGACACATCGGAAGTTTCGAGTTTTGGGAACAAGCAACAACGTGCCCACACTGATAAAAATAAAGTTGAGCAACAAAATTTTTTTATAAATGTTTCTATAGTTCTGTTCCAACCCAGCAGAGACCACACATTTCACCATCATGATTCTCAAGGACGTATATAAGGGAGGGGGTTTTGGGAGGTTCAAACCCCCCCCCCCCCCCCATTGAAAAATACTTATCATACTGCTGCGATATTAAGATCACATGTATTACTAATTATGGAATACGAAATTCAATAAACTGAATTTCAAAGCACTTATAGAAGTACACTGAAAAAAATTAGCTATAAATATGACTGCAACTTCTGAAGTAATTGGAACTTCGGATATGAGGTAAGTTATGAGTCTTTACTATGAAGACGTGTTGCAGTTGAAATTCTCAAAGTACTTTGAGCTTATCTTAATTCCATTGAGAGCTTAAGATAACATCATCCTGCATTGATAGTCAAGTCATCCTGACTTTCTTAAAAATATACCTGTATTTTCTATTGATACTGAAGATTTAGCATGTATCACTGGAAACCTTATGATATAAATCAGCGCTACATAGACTTCAACTCATAATAAAAGTTGTGACTTTGGATGTTGAATGATACACAAAGAATATTTTTTCATAGTTTTATTACAAAAAATGTAGGTACTTATGCAAATCATCTAGAACAGATCTCTTTGGTGTTGAAGCAACACTGATAGATGATGCCAGAAGTTCTTCAATGAGACTTACGCTGTGCAAATTCAATCTATAAATTATAAAAATGAATTAATCATAAATGAATAAACATATGGGTACTAAAACTTACACTGGGTTATGAGTGTCATAATTATTATTATCATACTCTTCTTGGAAACATTCGCGGAAATTATTGTCATTATTTGTTTTGTTTTCGGTGGTCGTTAAAATAGAGTAGGTATTGTCCTCGATGTCTACTAGTTCTATCTAGAACATTGCAGAATAAGATGAAGTCATTGACGTACATAATTTTATTCATAATTTAAATACTCACCAATGATGTCTCAGCTTGTTCTGATGGTATGGTAAATATTAAGTGTCGCATCAATAATGGGAAGATTAGGAGAAAGATTTTTTTTCTAGACGTTGTTCTTCTCTAGACGTTGTTTTTTTCTGATTTCCGCCAATTTTCTCACCATTACGAATCTTTCCCCTAATTTTGGTAAAAGTTTCGCAATGGCGTCGGAGTCGGGAAACAGCAAGACTTCTGGGGTAATGACTTCTTCTAAAATACCAAAGAAAAAGTAAAATAAAGTATTTATAATTTAAGTAAGAATTCTATTTATAATGCTACAAACTGCAATTCAATATCACAGTTTGAAGCTTACATTATGTTAAGGGCAATCTCTTCATTATTAAGTAACGAAAAAGGAATATCGTGTATGGGAAAATGATGCCTGTTGGGATGCCTTCAAAATGGTTTTTCAGATTACTGTTATCTTCTATTAATGATTATACCAATGGCATAATGCACATATACCTACTAAAATAATAAAATGTAAATTATTATTATATGTAAGAACTTACCTTCAAAATTTCCTTAGTGATGCCCCAGACCTATCTCTTCAAGAAATTCTTTCGATGCCATTTTGATATTTTTTCTTTGAAAAAAAACTCGAATCGACGATTTTCGAATAATCAGAACACAAACTGTACGCTCGCGAAGGGCAAAAAATATAGACTGATGAAGATGGTTTTTGTTGGAAGACGTTGTGCGGTACCTTACCCTGTGACCTTGTGCCAGCATCGACACAACGAAACGTTTGGGCCAATGTTAAGGCTATTCACATGGAACTAAATTCTCTATCTATTATCTTTTACCTTTCCAATGGCTATTGAAGTAACAACTCGAGGATTTAATATAATCGATAATATTCATAATATTAAAGAAAGCATGTGCTTAAATGTATCCCAGTCCTTAAAAATGTATTCACAAGAAAAAGTTTCTTAACAATAAAGACATGTGTCTTGATATTTATCTGGAATGATCAACCCCCACTTGACTTAAATATTAAGAAAGAATTTCTATACTGTTATGAAGAGTTTCGTAACACCAAATACCGTTCTTAATTCACAAGACTAGTCTCTTGAATAGTATAATGCTGTCCTCAAAGTCACGTAGGACTTGAGTTTTAATGCTGACTTTTTTCAGTGTAGTAGCGCCTGTCAAGTGCGCTAGTGCGAATCAACTCCCAGATCAATACCGACAGTCCGGCAACATTGCTTAGAGAATTACACACATGGACACACGTCTGACTTGACAACTTCGCTGATAGAAATGAAGTTTTTTAATTTGAACTTTGACAAAGTAAGCACTAACAATAAATTATTTTTTGGCACCCGAAAAAATTTTCCGCCTTCAGCGATATTCTCCGGCGGCGCCTGCGGTGGGCTATGCTCTGCCAGGTTTCCCATACATTTTCTGGTCTAAAATTGAAACCCCTTCCAGCATAGACTACGTCGTTGATGATTCTGCGCAAAACATAAAATTTGTGCGTAGAATTCGAAATTCGTAAACAAAGCGGTTCAGAAACTGTTCCTGGAACTGCTTATTTTCGGGTTGGAACAGACCTTATATTTCCTTTAATCTTTGCCGCTAAATCTGGAAACAAGCAACTTATAGACATTTTTCATTTTTGTTGCTGCAACCCTAAACAATAAGCAACTTGAATAAACTTTTGGAAATATGCAGAAAAAAAATCCAGGAACAAGCAACATAAATACAATGTTCCTATGTTGCTTTCGGTGTGGACGTAGTAGAATGACATAAATTTAATCTGAACTTCAACTTTGTGGATCACCCCGTATAACAAGATAATTGATAAACCCTATCGAGAAATTACTTCATGTGTTAATGCGAGAAAAGCCGGTCTTTCAAAATCCTTAAACCGCAGGATACTTTTTTTTTTTAATTTAGGGAGACTTTAACTTGATTTTGCCGATCTATCTTCTGACTAGCTGTTTGACAGTTTCGACTCAAAATCCAAATATACCAAGTAACTTTGCTGGTTGCACTGGATGACAGTGATGCCACTTTTCACAGATACTGTTTAGGAGCAATGTTTCTTATGCGTTGAAAATTAATACAAAATAAAATCTTCCCAAGGCAGAAGCAAAAATATGTGTAAAGATCTAAAAATAAATCCTTAATGCAAGCTGCCACATAAAATTAGGTTATCAAAAGTAAAAAGTGCATTTTCTTACATTCCTACCAACGCCAATCTGGCGAACCGTAAAAAAAGCTTTAAATAGGCGCATATGCTTCCACCTTCCTTGCCTAAATTAAAAATGTAGGTCCCGGGCCGAAATTTCACTTCCGGGTTACTTGAAGAACGTCTGTTTTGAATTGACGTTTTTTTAGTCCGTTTTTTGTAGGCAAATGAGCCCCAGTTCCGCGAAGTACCTGCGCAAAAAACAGCCACCTTTTAAAACCACCTTTGAATAGATTTCCTGAAGGATATCCGCCAGATGCCCAGAAGAGTTGCCGCCTTCTGCCCTGATTTGGGTCGGATGCCCCTCTTTTTAGTTGTTTTGCTTTCTTAAAATACAATCAAGGTAGTTTTTTGGTTCTTTGTGCGTCCCACACTTGCTTACTACCTACCTTCCTTAGCTTACTTGCAAACTCATTATGTTATCACCCACCCTCATCATACACAGGCTGTGCCACATTATTTGGGGCTAGTGTACAATTTTAATGTTGTTTTTCTGTCTAAAGAAACTGTCTGCCTATACACAAGAAAAATGCACTTCCAATTCAATGGAAGTTTGGAGCGTTCCCTGACTGACTGCAAGTCGCAAAAAGGCAAATATATTTTATTCTGGAAATATACTGAAATTGATACACGCAAGGATTTGTAAAGAGCGAAATTGATGAGATTTAATTCATTTTGACTGAATCCGGAAAAATTATTATTGAATATCACTATATTGGTTTCATTTTTATTTGCAACGGTTTCAGTTTTCAGACAATCTCTAGAGTTTCATTTCCAAAACGGACGTGAACTTAAATTTCACGTAATTTGTTCGGAAAAATATTAATTTTTTTTTCATTTTTTCAAACTTGCAATTTTTCATTCCATGTTTGATGAAGATATCTTCATAAAGAAGGATTCTGAGTCGAAATAAATTGGTCGATTTGATATAAAATACTTTCACATTACTTATACCCAAAGTTATAATTGAGACCAAAAACAACTAGAGAGCGCTGACACTTACATTCAATATTTCGCTAATTTTGGAAATGCTCAATTTACAATAATTGAATTTTTGTGAGTTCGTATGTACTTTTCATGGCGGCTTCTTTGGTTTTACCCCGATTTAACTTCAATTTGGTCACGTGGAGTAGGTGAAAAATGCACACGTGAGAGGCAGGAAAAAAGAGATTCATTTAAAATTATTGAATATGTGTATTCTGAATATTATTCCATAAATAATCTTGGATTCAATTTTTAGCCTTATTAAGGAATTCTATCATCGTCGATTTTTGTAAAAGAAACATTGTCCCGTATAGAGCGATTGATTCGTCAATTTAAGAACAGGTTCACCTTTTGTTACGAAATAACATTGGTGCAGACAAGCCGACGGCACATTAATGACCTGTGCGCGAATTCAGGAATTCGTTCCATTGTGTTATTTGTATAAACAAGAATTCACGTGCGTCCCAGAGATTTCTCGATCGAATGGTGTTGTATATGAAGCACGTGGTTTGTGAGTTGTCATCCAGCTTGAATAAGAAACATTTTGTATAAAGGTAAGTAACAGCAATTAGTGAATTTTGTAGTCAATCACTCCAATGAAAGTTCTGATTGTTGGTAAGAAAAGTTCAATTGAACCCGAAGAATTCGCGATAGTATTATCTTTTTCCAACAAAAATGTATTCAAGAAGGATGACATTTATAGACTCTCTATTAGGTATAGACTATAATGTTACACATTTTCCTCTTGGTACAACTAAGGCGCTTTAATGGGAGACACAATTAATAACGTTCACTTTAATTTATTAAAATTTTCATTAGGCGCCATTAGAAGTGTTTCTTTAGTGAGATTAAAAGCGCCCCATACAAATAAAAAATAACATGGGTATAGTATTTTTAATCCGACTAGAAACACTAAAAAAAACATCTAGTCGGCATACATCAAACAAATAAAGGACATGGGCGTCACATAATTTTCATTTATTTAAATGGTGATAATCAATATCAAACAAAACAACTAATAATACGTGGAATAAAACAGTTTATCTACATCTTTCCCGGGAAGACGTAAGTAGCCCAACCCACTAATTGAACCTATAGGCGTGTGCCGACCTAAATTATTATTTTGGGCTACTGTAGCGATATTTGGTCGCTGCTTATATTTTGTACAGGGAAACTAACAATAGTTTTTCTATGAAATTAATAAAAGAGAGCGATGTGATGTTGAAAAAAAAAAAAAAAAAAATCCTCGTATAATGCAGTGTTGCAAGTCAGAATAAAAATACTTTACATCTATGCAAAATAAAAATGTTGATAATGATTTCCCGCCTCAATACGAAGGAAAAACCTTTCGAATATTTTATACTACCAAAATTCCAATATTGTAATAACGTTAATGGACTTACCGTTCCCTGTAGTGACCGAGCCACAGGCAGGTGTCCGTCCACCCATCCCAATTTTGGACCGAGAACCTCTTGGTCTTCCTCTTTTAGTGTGCCCTCTACCAGCGGCTTTAGGTTTCACGGTAGATCCATATACATTATATACTGTATATTCTGAACAAAAACATTGTGAGTCACTTAAATTAAACATGTCGATATTGTCATCTAAATTTATAAAAGCGTTTGTCCTGACTGACTGAGTGGTCTATCAACGCAGAGCCAAAACTACTAAGTTTAGCAGCTGAAATTTGGAACATAGGTTTATTTTTTAACGACAGCATCCGCTAAGAAAGGATTTTTGGAATTTTTAACTTAAAAGGGGGAACTGGGAGGGGGGGGGACTTTTCATGAAAGTCAGCTTCTGAACATAAATAAAATAATGACGTCGTGTTTCAGGTTTTTTGGATTTT